TGTGCCCATGGACCTCGGCACTCTGCAATTGTGCTACATTCTCTCCCCCTGTTCCCACAGAGAGAGCGATCTATCAACCGGGCGTGAGAGACAGAGACACAGAGAGAGAGAGAGAGAGAGAGAGAGAGAGAGAGAGAGAGAGAGAGAGAGAGAGAGAGAGAGAGAGAGAGAGAGAGTACAGAACGTCACGTTCAAGTCTAAAGTTCGGAATCATAAGCTACACGCCTACAACACGTTTATGTATGTACACAACCAACTTACAGGCTGAAGATAAGGTTCCACATTCTTTCCACCTGAAAGTGCATCCTCAACATTTTCTTGCTGGGGACTGTTCCCGAGAGTCCCTCCCAGAACGGGTGTTGTGTGAGGACCTGAAGTCGAAGTCCATCCCCATAGACATCTCGCTTCATTTTTCAACACAAATTTGTATATTGCTGGCACACTTCTATTACAGACGCAGAATACTTTATCACTCCAGGTGCACAGTAATTCCAACCGATACATACAGAGCAGTGTTTTCCGATCGCCATTGATCCTTGGTCTGAAGGAATTGAAACTGTCAACAACTTCGGAATGAAGAACCTGGTCCTTTTCTAGCATGAGGTTCAGCCAACTGTTGGAACGTACCGCATTCCAGACATGCAGCCCTCTGGTCCAACCACTCTTGCTGGACACTGAAGGATCAGCAGCTGAAGACTTGAGAGAACCTGGTACCTGGTCCCAGGTAGCGGCTTCATTCAGTCGTCGGGCAGATCCTTCTTCCATGCGGTGGCTACAGTCACCCTGCGATCCAACCACTCGATGATGTCGTTGAAGACAATTTCTACGTTCTCGTCGGGCTCCCCAGTCATGATCTGGTGCCACATCCCATGATATATTTTAATCGTCTTGTCTGAACTCACAGCGCTTTTGTGCAATAGTTTGCTTACCTCTGGATCGGTGACGACATCCGCATCGCCGTGCAGGACAAGGAACGGAAGGTTCACCTGCATTTCCAACACACAATATGGCCCAAACAGACATTAAATTCAAGTCAATACTTGAAGAAACCGCTCCTGCAACACCTCTATCCCAATTCAATCCCTATATTACATGACCAAAAATTCTGAAAGAATTCCATCCATCCAACGCTCGATTCACGAATCTGAGGATGTACATTGTCATTGGCCCGCTTCTATAAGCCCCTGGGGGACAGTACAGTCCGAGTTGAGGGGTTGGATATCATGAGTATTTAATTCCTGGCGTACAGCCAGGTGTCAGATCAGAAACATAAAGGGGTTGCAAATTGCAATGACAAATTGGTTCCCTTACCCCAAATAAGAACCATGAAGGGGTTGCAAATTGCAATGACAAATTGGTTCCCTTAACCCCATGACATAAGTTGCTTAATGCCACTCACTATCAAAAGTTCGAGTCATAGACCAAGGAATAATACCAATTGTCTCATTAGCTATTGAATTAATATTAGTAAGAATACCTAAATGAAGGCTTTTTTTTTTCTTTTTTTTTTTTTGTGAAACCACTAGTACCTTCGCCGCGTGGGAAAATAGCGGGCCTCGGTTGGTCCTCTTTTTCGGAGGCTGAAACGAAGTGACGACCGCCGATCAGATTTATCAATGGCAATCGTCGTCGGGCCCAACCTCCGAATCTTTAGGAGTTTGGGAAAACTGCCACTTTTCCCTATTTTCCCAACACTAGCGGAGGTACTAGTGCTAGTGGTGTCTGCTTCTTCCACTAGCACTGCAGGGGACATGTGTTTGAAAAAAAAAGAAAAAAAAGTGGAGGTACTAGTGGTTTAATGGAAAGTTCAGAACAGAGCACTGTGGGCGGGAATATCTCTAGGAGAGGATAACTGTATGCAGAAAAGAAATCATTCTCGCAGAGTCCCCCCCCAAAAAGCAGCCTCCCTGCAGGAGAGTTCCCTTGCCTCATGCCAAGCTTGACGTGCCATAGGACAAGTTGGGCCAAAGATGATACCTGGCCCTTACAATGTGTGTGTGGTTTAGTCCCATACACCACAGCACCTTAGGCCATTTAGCGAGCACAACGCTGCACACTATCTCTTCGTGTGTGTGTGTGTGTGTGTGTGTTGTAGGTTTTCCCCACAGCAGCCCCAATTCCACCCAGATGAATACATTCAGAATCAGAGCAATCTTCACCCTATTGCAGACAACGAAAACATTTGAGATGAGACAGTCCAACATATTAAGGCAATTTTATAATTAGACAATTTTTTGGTTGTCCTTGGAGTAGTACCCCTTCCATTTGTTCTTGGAGCTCCCCTTTTACTGTGCCTCTTACGCACAAGAGCTGCCCACGTTGATTGTGGTTGAGCGGCGGCTGGCCACATTCCCATGTGCCTTCATGGCCCACTTGCACGTTATTTCAGGAGGCAGAGTAAAAGAGTAGGTATGCTCCTGTGCATTTCTCTTCAGGCCTTCATACTCCAGTTCATTTCACTTCAGATCTTCAGCTTATACTTCATCTTTGTGTCCGTCCTTCATCTT